CCAAATGCAACCGGAGAGACAGTAGGTCTTCTTTTGTTTAATCTCATTTCAGCAGCAACTTTTGCTCGAATAGATTTGAATTCGTCAAGAATTCGCACCTATGACCATTGTGCTGAGGATCTACGGAAGCTCTTGCATAGGCTGTAGCCTATTCATGCATGAAGAAAATAAATCAAAGTGAATGTGAGCATAAGTAAATAAAGTTAGTTTGCTTAACATAAACGGTTCTAAAACAGTTCACATAACAATATCACTCACGTGTTTTCCGTTTTAAGCCTGCTCTGTAGGTACATAGTGCTTTCGGCTTGTCACATATCTTTGATCTGTGAAATCACCTCAAGTTCAAGGAAACAGAAAAGCGATAGCCTTGTTCGATTCCAGCGAATGAGATTGTGGATGGAAACGCCTTCTGCAAATCCACTGGTATCATGTATTGATTGGGAACTGAGTGGTGGAAAAGTTGGTGAGATAATATTTGAAATTCATTCCAATCCAAAGGAAAATATAATGGTACGAGGTAGCGGTTCACTGATAATCTGCTCTTTGCCATGACAGAAAGCCTAGATCGTGTTCCGTTCCAGCCAACTTTATTTTCCAACTGCAGCACAAGGAGAAAAGTGTTAAATATCTTCCAGAACATGGAAACGGCTTCCAGTACCTAAAGCCTAACCTAGCTACCATAAACCATAAATCACTTGGATAAATCACCGCCGACGACTAGGGCAGTACTCAACGTCGATCGTGCCCAAGAGAACTGACAAAAATTCAACTTACATCGGGTACCTGGTATTATTATATTTTCTGGTATCAGGTACCTCTTGCTTGACAGGGAAGTTGAAAATCGTGTATCAGAACCGTAGAAAAATCTCCATGTTGCTAATAGTTCAAAGAGTAGGAGAAAGGGATGATCCCATGAGAAATCGCTCCTAGCCAGAATTATGAGGTTCGTAGAAGATAGACTTGCTGCATAGAAAGTTCCTGTATTTGACGAGCACTCGATATGGTCCTGTCAAAATGTCACGGCCTGTCCGTATGTGTCTACGAATCGCATGCTGTTTTTCACACAGTCCAGGGTAAGCTATGAAGGTGGCATTGCTGGCTATCAAAATATTTCTACCTCCACATTTCCCTAAAAGGATCCTCACATTATCAATTTCAAGCCTACCAACCTTCGACTGATTGTCACTCCCATTCTTGATTCAACACTGAAGGTGAATGCATTGGTGACAATTGTCGCTATTTGCAGTTTTCCAATCCAATTTCGGGCTGGGGCTGGATCCATTTTCCCGATGGCTGAAAAAAAANAAAAAAAATTGAGTTTTTGTTTTGCTTGAAATTCACTAATGTGTACTGTAGACAATCAGCATGCCGAACAGCTGACGAACAATTTGGAAATCACGAGTACGAAGAATAATTTTAGTAAACCGGAAAAAGTAGGAGCAAAGGAAGTTTGAACAGCCTTGAAAATTGTGAAAACAAAGAGTAATGCAAAGACAGAAACTCGGGAAAGTTGAAGCAGACAACTACTACGAAAAGTACCCTTGACCATCTCCACGTCGTACGTCAGCTTACCGAAAAATGTGGAGAGTATCGGACACCCTTACGTGTGGCGTTTGTCGACAACAGAAAAGCACTCGACTAGGTCGAAACAAACGCGATATTAAATGCGATGACCAGGTACGGTATCAATTCGTGCTATGTCGACCTTCTCGAAGAACTGAACAGTGGCTGCACCACAGAAATAAAGCTCTTCAACGATCCATGTCAAATAAAAATATGCAAGGGCGTACGACAAGGAGATACGAAATTGGTTGCACTAACATTGGAAGCCCTGTTCAATGATCTTGACTGGACCGGAGGCACGGAGATCGACGTAGAACACCTGACCTATCTGCTCTTTGCTGACGACTGCGTCATTTTTGCACATGATGCCCTAGAGCTCCAAGAGAAAGTTGTGCAACTACAGACGAAATCGAGCGAAGTCGGAATTGTAATGAATTTGTCAAAAACGAAGTGGATGCACAACCAGTTCAGTTCTACAGCAACTATCGAAATAAATGGCGAAACTATCGAGGAAGTAAAAAGCTTCAAAGACCTCGGACACCAGCTCAGCTTCTTAGAAGGCAGCACCGGAGAGTACAGCAGGCGCAGGAAAGCAGCTTGGTCTAGCTTCAACAAAATCTCAACGTTATTGTTAGACGAAGACCTCCCGATGAAAGTGGAGAAAAAGAAAATCCAGACGAGGAGAAATTTGCTGTGATGCAAAGATCTATGGAACGCAAAATTTGCAAGATATCACTTCGCGAACATATCACAAACACAGAGCTGCGAAGACGAAGTGGCCTTGTTGATGTTGTCCAGAAAATGTATTATAAAAGTAACGAGAATGGGCCGGTCATGTGGCACGATTGAAAGACAACCGATGGACCTTTCGGCTAATGAACTGGGTCCCATTGGATCACAAGCGAGCGCCGGGAAGGCCTAAATTGAGGTGGGCCGATCCTATGGTGAATACGACGTGCGCAGGACCGGAACGGATGGCTCAAAGTCGACTTGCGTGAATGGAGAAGTTTGCGAGGAGAATTCGGATACAGGTGATACAGGTGATACTACGAAAAGTAAAACGTTAACAATACGTTAAAGGGAACGTGTCAAGGAATTTTATGCTAATCCGAAGTAGTACAACCAGGATCTAAGTCGAATATGGCAAGCACGGGGCCAAAGTCCACGTCCTTACTGGAGCCGATGATCGATTCATGCACTCGATGAGGGCATAGGTAGTTAGACGAAATTTCATTGGAATGGATCATCGACTAGTCGGGTGGCACGGTGAATTTCTACAAACGACACCTTCAAGGATAAAAGAACTAATGCAAAGAAGAAAGTAGAATTGATATCACAAGCGTACCCCTAGAGTCCGATCCCGATTCAAGTTGCTCAAGCTATCTAGCATTTCATCCCTCAAGGTAACGGAGCTTATATTCATGTTCCCCAGATTGCCCTGAAAGGCGAATTTGGACAGAAATCTACTTCCCAAAAAGAAAATCCTTGGAAATATAGTCAAAGGTAATACTGTGTTGTAGGACGACGTAGAGTTCATCTCCTTTCTATATCATTTCCGTATATAGTAATTGCTAATTGTAATTCTTTTCTTCGAGTTGATATAAATGGGTAAAACAACAAACAATTTTGTTAACTGCTGTTTTATGGCTGCAGTACGCGTTGCGAAAGTCTCACAAGGTTGGCGATATATGACAAACTTCAGCCTCGGAGGGGAATCGAACCCGCACTTGTGCTGTTGAAGTACCAATATGAACAGTATCCTGTCGCCTGCACACCCATAGGTCTACGGGGAATGGGATTATGATTTTTTACACAAACCCCAACCCTGTTTATGGAGTCCGGTCTTGCCACCCACCATAAGTGTTCGTATCCTGCTGCCTGTGCTCCTACAAAATTTGGACGCCCTTGGTCCCGGAGACAAGAATTCCGATTTTTCACACAAACCATGCCCCTTATGGGCGGAGGCCGATTCTGCCACCAACCATGAGTGTTCCCATCATGCCGCATGTAATCCTACCAAATTTAAACGCTCTAGGTCCAGGTTTAAGTTTTTCACACAAACCCCAGCCCTTGTGGGAGGAGTCCGGTCCTGCCACCCAGCATAAGTGTTCCCATCCTGCTGTCTATGCTCCTACGAAATTTGGACGCCCTTGGTCAACGGAGACAATAGTTACGATTTTTCACACAAACCCCTGTGGGAGGAGTCCGGTCCTTCCACAAACCATGAGTGTTCACATCATGCCGCCTGTATTCGTACCAAATTTGAACTCTCTAGGTAAATGGAAACCGGAGTTATGAATTTCCACATATATGTAAATGTAAGAAACGATGTGGGCTTCGAGGCACGCTCCGCCCATTGTGGGCGGGCCTTCGTTTACGTCATATATGGTGGAGACACCTTCGACAATGTTTCTCCAATAGAAACGTTTTACCGCTCTAATGGCTTTCTCCAAGCCGAGTTACAAATGTTTTCATAAAGCATTGCAATTTTGGAGAACGCCCCACCCATCGGGGTTGGGTCTCCCTAGTTCGATCCAACTTACCAATGCACACCTCTAGCCACCTTTACACCCCAGTTTTGAAGCCGTCTTGTGAGTGAATCTGAAATCATGGTCCTCAGTAGATTTCATTTCGATGCACGCCACGCCTCCTGTGGGAGGGGCTCCGCCAAGCTGATGCGTGCTTTATACTTTTCGGGACATGGCCCACCCATCCCACGCTGATCCGGCAGATCTAAAGGAGCTAAGGAATTTTGTGACAGACATACAGACAGAACGACAGACAGACGACAGACGAAGCGCTTTATAGTAAGTAAGATAGCTAACAAAAACTTCATTATATGGAAGAAAAAACGCTCTTGTCTGGTGATGTTCAAAGACGGAAAACCATTTTAATATCATGTGCAAATAGTTAAATTTGAAAATGATTTCGCCATTATTAAGAAGAATTCCGGCAAATATCAGAAGATTAGTCATGATCATCAACTTCATATGAACGAAGATATTGTAAATTTAGGCCAAGCTCAGTATGAAAAATGTTTTGTTTTCACCGTCTCCATGTTTCTTTTTGCAATTGGTTTATTAGAAATTCCTGACAAGTTGGTTTTAATAAAAGAGCAGTCAGTAGGTCGTTCTAACATGCTATACGATGTATTCTTACACTCCAGGAACGGTTTAATCCCAGTTTTCTCCCCAGATTTGGATGTCCTAACTATATGATACCCACATAAAGTTTAGAGATCATTTTTGGTGGGATCCTGAATTTCAGCAAAAATAGGGCCTCCAAGGGTCCCAGAAACTTGCTGAATAGGTGTATGTATATTTAATTCAGCCTTTCCGAGATTTCAAAGTTGTTCAAGCTTAAGCTGATAGGTGCTCTTCCAGATCTTTCGCTTTCTTATCTGCTGATCAATTTGCAGCAAGAAAAACTGCTTTACAATGGTTTCTTTTCCGCTTTTGCTGCTATCGACATGTCTAAGCTTCGAGGAAATGATACGGTGAGTGAAAGACCCNGTGCCTCTGAAGAAGACGACTATTCGGAGAAGGAGAAGCTCATTTATTGAAAACTTGGCTGGCGATTATCGAAGAATGGTTTACTTCCCGGAATACGGGATCCATACTAGATATGTCCATTTCACAAAACAGGGGCACATCCATGTTAATGTCTTCGAACCAGAATACTGGAACAATCTTCATAATGGCTACAAACCAGAATACGGGAACAACCTCAATAATGACTACAACATGGGAAATTGGAACAGCCTTCATGGCTCAAGTGAAATACTTTACAACTATTTGGACGTGAGGGGCTACGCAATAAAGGCTAAAGTTGTGTAGCTGTACAGTTGTTTTCAGATGCAGTACTATGGCCCCATCCAGATTGGCCATCCTCCTCAGATCTTCACTGTAGTATTCGATACTGGTTCATCCAATCTGTGGGTTCCGTGCGCAAACTGCTTAGGGACCGCTGATTTTTGTCGAAGTCACAGTAAGGTAAGTTCCAAATCTCACAGCTGTTTCTTGGAATAATTAACCAAGCGTTCGTAGTTCAACTACAAAGAATCCTTCACGTGCATCCGAAAGCATCGTCCCCTCAATCTTACCTACGGAATAGGCAGCGCCAAGGGCTCCCTTTACAGCGATATCGTTTGCGTGAGTCTCACAGCATCTCAGAAGGAAATGTTCATCGCGACCGTCAACGCTTTTTTTTTAGATCGACACGAATCCGAAACACTGCTTCCGCCAAGAATTTGTTTGTGCACAGCGAGTTCACGAAATGGATGTAAGCTCAGATCATCAAAGAAATGTGCAATGAATCGAAACAAAGAAACGCGGTATCTGCAGGCCGTTTTCAGGGCACTATACCCGACGGCACTCTGGGTATGGCGTGGCCTTCACTATCTGTTGATAACATTACGACACCTCTGGAACATCTTTTTGCTAACAAGGTCATTTTCATGGCGTACAGCTCATTCCACGACAGATAGTCGCGAGATAAGGTTCAACTTTTCGAAAGACGAAGAGATCACAGATGATTTTTCGATAGACCACCATTTTCGAAGTGAAGTGCGTAGTGGGCCTACAAACACGGCCTTGCAGATGGACTGTCCGAAAGCTGTCTTCGCATTCTGGCTCAATCGCAATTCCATCGAAGGTGGAGAGCTGACCATATGTGGAACAGACCCTTCCCGCTATCAGGTATCGCCTCAAGACTTCTGCTTATTGTAACTGAAGAAAAATGTCAAGGATCCAATTATATGGGTGCCGCTCATCAGTGAATCCTACTGGTCAGTCCTGCTGGGAGGAATCACCGTCAAGGCAGAATCAGGCGACATTTTACATATCCCAGGAAACTTCTCAGCATCTATCGATAGTGGTACCTCGTTCATTGTTGGACCCTCCGAAAAGATCCAGAAGGTAGGGTTCAGCAGACCTTTTTCAATTCCCGAATTACCAGTTTCGACGGTTTTCGTTCCCTTTCCTTGTGTTTTTAGATATTGGATTTTATCGGTGTGATGGAATTAGAAGTGATTGAGTGCAGTGCAGTTCCCTCTTATCCAACAATCTTTTTCAAACTTGGAAGCTATGAATTTAAGCTTGAAGGACAACAGTACACCCTTAAGGTAAACGAATGGACTTTTCCAACCATCGGCTGACTTGTTGCCAGCAGAAATAGTAGCTTCCTTGGCTGCAGAACTAATCCGAGCTTATCTTCGATAAAAAGTCTCATAAAGAAAGTTGAAGAAGCAGTAGGCTGCAATTCTACATAGTCTAGAAGAGTGAGAGTTTGAAAGAATTGCTAAAATAATTGATTTGGAATTGCTTTTCCAGCAATCCCACGGGGAATGCTATGTTGCATTCCAGAAGAACCCATCCAAAGACGGTAAGCTTCAAAACATCTAGTCGAAGTTCTCAGAAGTAGCGAATTCATAGTTTCAGATAATAGTTGGACTCTTGGAGATGCCTTCATGAGCAACTTCTATACTATATTTGACTACGAAAACAAGAAGGTTGGGTTTGCCAAACCAGCTTGATTTGTCATCGAAGTGGTGAATGTGCCTAATAAAGGGCAGCAAATAAAGAATCAACTGAAAATCACATTTTGTCCAAAAGACAAAGACAGAATGCACATTAAATACAAAATTAGTGGAGAGGCATAGAAATGGCAGAGTATTAGGAGCTTCGGAGTTGACCGCACACATGATGGAATCAAAGACCGTTTCGATTGACGCTGATCAATCTCACTTCGGCAGCAAACTTCCAACTTTCATTCAGAGTTGTAGGGACCTTTGATTTGGTACTTGTTGGACATAGGAAATTATATGGCCAGCTAACGTGTAGGCCATCCGTGAAAGTATAAAGTCCTAGTAAAGAAATGAAAATGACCTCCTTTGTCATCTCCCGGATATTGAGCACTCTTCAGATGTATCGATCAAGACGTCCAAGACAAGTTTCAACTTCATAACTAAACCTCAATTCTACCCCTTGAAGACACTATTACGGAAGCTTTTTTCATCAGTAGACCCCCGCGGGTTATTCGATAATTGTCTGTTTTGATGAAGGCTGAACTGACTGCCCAAATTACTTTGACAGTGCTATCTTTGTAGGTAGTGAGACTGTCGAAGGAGGCCGAGTGGGACTGCCCTAGACGCATAGCAATTGCAAAAGGGAAAGCAATTGCAAAAGGGACGATCTCCATCAAGAAAGGAAAATCAGGGAGGCAGTTGTGGCAATTGAAACGGTTGCTTACAGCGACGGATCGGGAATAAGTGGTCAGCAGTGGCCATGGAACTTTGAGATGACCGCGGGTCCAGAGGACTACTGATTTTATTCCTCGAGACGTTAGGAAGTATCAGAAATCCACCATCTTCAGTCCATGAGTTATTCAAGAAAGCTCAGAATGATCGAAACGCTGTGCCTCGCGTTCTTCGAGCATGCAGGACAAAATAGCTTGAATTTAATTGTGGAACTCGTTTGATCAGAAATAAGAATCGATAAGACATACATGGAATTTACACATGAACGCGCAAGACAGATGACACTGACTCACGGTATTATCAACCTATATGCACTGGGGGGTGGGGGGGAAGGAGGAAGGATGGCAAAATCTGCCAGAAATTGAGAAGATAAGATCAAATATATGTATGTACGTCAAGAACCTAATCTGTTGATAGTTAAACCATCCTGACTGCCTCCTAATGACAGAGCTGATAATCCAGCGCACTTCCCAACGCAAACGGTAAGACAGTATCACAAGGTTGGCGATTAGTGGACAAAGCGTCAGTCTCGGACGGGATTCGAACCCGTACTTGTGCTTTCCGGGCAACGTGCTCAATCCCTTACACTACTGAGACCCCGCTTGCCCTCTCATTCTTAATGGCAACATACTTAGTAGGTCTTCACTTATTTAATCTCACCTAGTGAAAACTTTTCGCCTCGATAAATCTCAGTACGAGTAGAATGCACAACAACGACAGTTGTGGTGGAGAACAGCAAAGACCCTTTGCACAGAAACCGACCCATTCATGTAAATATGCACGGATTAAATCAGAGTGTATGTATGTGTGCATAACTGAACAGAGCCAGATTTCCTAGATTTAGGGACTTTCACAGTTGTTCATATAATAATATTACTCACCGTGATTTCCGTGGTAAGCCTGCTTTTTAGATAGTGCTTTCGGCTTGTCAGATGCTTCGTGGTCACTGGCAGTTCATTGAGATAGAGAGAAGCTAGACCCTTCTTCGATCCAAGCAAACGAGATGGAGTTGGAACACGTCTTCTAAAAATGCTTTGATACTTAAGTGCTGATTGGGAACTGACAAGTAGAAAAGATAATGGGAGAGTATCCGAAAACTGATTTCAATCTAAAAAAGAACAGGACGAGGAGGCGGCTCAGTGATAATCTGCTCTTTGCTGCCATAACAGAAAGCCTTAGATCGCACTATGTTTCACCCAGTTTAGTTTCCCAGTTGCAGCAGAAGGAGTGGTAGTGCTAAACGTCTCCCAGGACATGAAAGCACTGCTTGGAGTACCTATAGGGTAACCTACTAGTAGGGGGTTTTAATCTTACTTTTTGTGATCAGAGCGGATGGACTTCTCTTATCTGATGGAGAGCAGTTCGTATGGAGAAAGGCGGTCTTTCTCCCCAGTAGAACATTCAGTAAGGGATCATTTTTTCATTCACCCTTGCTGCTTTCCATAAAAATTTTAAAGATTATGACTCTATGACTCAGCGATCTTCGTTTTGCTGTCTATGAGAATGAGATAAACATGCTCACAAAAAAAGGCAAAATAATTGAATAGGTTGGAGGGGTTAACCCAAGGGAGGGGTTAACCCAAGATTGAGTTCGATGTAGTCATAAAATTGTAGGTGCTGGGGAAATGTATTGTGTGTAGTCTGGATGCGACTCCCTGTCGCCTGGCAGACAGGGAGTCGCATCCAGACCACACACAATACATTTCCTAGGGCTCTGCGGGAACGTTTACGATCGGAAAGATTCTTTCAGGGTTTTTCTTTGACCTTCAAAAAAATTACCATAAAAGGATACTCAGCATCGGAACGAGGTGCACATGGGTATACGGGTTGATGATGTTCGTATACAGAAAACATGAAAGCTTTTCGAAGAAACCTGGAGAAATCAGGACTATTGCGAAATTCATCCTATACCTTCCACTACCGTCCGCTACCCACATTCTTAGCACCTAATAATCCCAATGACTGACCCCAGTGAGGATCGTACGGTGTTTCCCTGGTCAGACATTGTGTATGTGGAGAATGAACGGCAAAAGTAATGGCGAACATCCTATGATGGCAGATGAACGCAAGATGAATAAAGATTGTTGATTTGGAGATTGGCTTTTGTTCCTATCGGCATGCCTGACCTCCAACGAACTTTTACGGCGAGTAAGACACTCCACAAGTTAAGAGCGCTTCCACGATGAAGATTGATTCAGTATGCGTGTAACCAGAACGTACATTCTTCCACATTCGTTTGATGAAAAGTTTGCCGCTGATAATGAAGGAACAGATAACACCCTGGGCCCCAGTAAAGAGTTTGTCAACTTTATGGATGTGAGAAACTACCTAGTGGAAGACAATATTGCGTAGTTCTGCAGTCATTTCCACTTTCCACATTATTATCCCATTCAGGTTGGTACCCCCCTCCCCCACTGCTCTACCCCTCAAGGTGCTTTTTGACACGAACACATCTACTTGCAATCAGGGCTCCTCTGCCGAACAAGGTTTTAATGGTGAAACATTTATTTTGACTGAGGATTGACGAGTTGGTCGTTCTTATTGAGACAATCTCCTACCTAGTTGCAACCCAGACCGACGAACTTCCAACTAAGACGAATTTAACACCTGTAGCTTACGTCAAATTTACCAACATGTAACGGTTGCTCAACTATGGAGACGATGGAGCAAGTGAGACTACCTGATCATCCATAAGCCAATAAAGTTCACAATAAGTTTGAGTACCCTCTTTAGGCCAAAAAGTGGAAGTGTTGCTGTAGAGTAGTGCATCGGCAGCGAAGAAAGCGAGAAAAACTGCTCACTTCGCGAAAGATAAGGTCTCCTGGAAGTAGTGAAAACAAAGATGTACTGGATAACTTTGACGGCACTGGCACGGAATTTGGCTGTGACGCAATGCCCCATTCGGACAAGATTACAGTTGTTACAATTGTGCGAAGAGCTGAAAACATCTAGCCAAAATTGTCCGAACTGCCTTCCTACAAAAACTGTCCTCATGGGTCGTAACAAGCTGATTGAACTTCCAATACGGGAGTCCCTTGAGGTATCCCTTCAACGTCGTTTAAACTCTCCCGCCGTGGCATTAAGCCAATACAATCTCCTCTGTTCTAGAATTTGTCTTTCTACAAAAAGAGAGAGAGGTCGAAAAGCGATGAAGATTTCTTGAGGACCATCGTAGGCAGATCTTTCAAAGAATTTGAAACATATGATACATGAAAATAGAAATGAATGTGATAACTGTAACTGAACCAATGAATGAAGGGACTGAAAGCGATTGTTTTGAGTCATGAAAGAAGGTTCTTTCACGAGAAAGCAACAAATACATACAACCAAGGATCGCAATGGGTACAGTTAGTTCCCATCGCTATCTGACCTGAGGAAAGAGCTTGCAAAGAGAGTCTTTCTCATAACTAAGGTGACGATGCCATCCGCGAATCCAATGCATTACTTTTTCTTGTGTGAAGAAAATAAAAGCCAGTCGAAGAAAAACACTCCGATGTCTGATGATATACAAAGACGAAAGCCATTTTAATATCATATACTCATAGTTCAACTTGAAATGGTTTTGCGATTATTAAGAAGAATTCCGGCAAATATCAGAAGGTTAGTCATGATCATTAACTTCATATGAACGAAGATATTGAAGTTTCAGGACAAGTTCAGTATAGAATATGTTGTGCCTTCACCGTTTCCATATTGTCTTGCACTTGGCTTATTAGAAAATTCTTGACGCGGTGGTTTCTTATAAAAGAGCAGTCAGAAGGTTGTTCTGACATGACATTCGGTGAATTCTTCTTATCCAGGGAAGTTTTCACCCCAGTTTTCTTCCCGGATTTGGTTTTCCTCACTCTGTAGCACCAAACATAATGTTTAGAGACCCTTTTTGGTGGGATCCTACATTTCAGCAAAAACAGTGCCCCCAGAAGTCCCAGAGAATTTCTGAATAGACTCTCTTCTGAATCTTTTTATCCCTTCTTTCTACTTGATGGTGCTATTGATTTCGCAGCTGAAGTACTCAATGCGAACTTGACGAATTCTTATCTGTTGGTCAATTTGTAGCAATTAGAAAAAGCCCCAGGATGACTCCGTTCCTGCTTTTGCTGCTATCGACATGTTTGAGCATCGAGGCAATTATGCGGTGAGTAGGAGACTAACACAAGTTCGTTTGGCTTTGACGAAAATTGTTGATTCAGTGTGCCCCTGAAGAAAACGACTGCTCGGAGAAGAAGTGGCTCATCCCTTGAAAACTTGACCGGCGATTATCAAAGAGTGGTTTACTTACCGGAGTATGAGAACGTCCCTTATGTCTATCCTCCGGAATACGAGATTCGCCCTGAATATGTCTACTACCCAGGATACGGGTACATCCGTGCTAATGTCCTCGTACCGGAATACTGGAACACTCCTTATAACGGCTACAAACCGGAATACGGAAACAACCTCAATAATGATTTCCACACGAAAAACGGGAACAGCCTTCATGACTCAAGTGAAATACTTCACAACTATAAGGATGTGAGGGGCTACGCAATAAAGACTAAAGTTGTGTAGCTGTACAGTTGTTTTCAGATGCAGTACTATGGTCCCATCCAAATTGGCCATCCTCCTCAGACCTTCAGAGTGGTATTCGACACTGGCTCATCCAATTTATGGGTTCCGTGCGCAAACTGCTTGGATACCGTTGAATTTTGTCAGAGCCACAAAAAAGTAAGTTCTAGATTTCAGAGCTGTTTGTTGGAGTAATAATCAAATCGCTCGTAGTACAACTGCGAAGAATCCTCCACTTGCACAGAGGAGCAACTAGAATACCTGCCCCTTATTTACGGAAAAGGCCAAGCCTCCGGCTTTGTCTACAACGATACCGTTTGCGTGAGTCTCACAGAATCTCAGATTGAATTGTTAATATCGACAGTCAATGCTTTCCTTGTAGTTCGATACGGAGCCAAAGCATTGCTTCCGCCAAGAATTTGTTTGTGCACAGCTTGTGCGCGGTCTGGATGTAAGCTCAAATCATCAAGGAAATGTAATGAATTGAAACAAAGAAACGTGGTAGATGCGCTCCGTTTTCAGGGCACTAGACCCGACGGCACTCTTGGTATGGCGTGGCCTTCAATATCTCAGGGTCGCATTACGACACCTCTGGAACACATTTTTGCTAACAAGGTCATTTTCATAATGTACAGCTCATTCCACAACAGACAGTCGCGAGATAAAGTTTAGCTAGCCGAATGTTCCACGGATGACGCGTGGATTAAGTGAAACCGCTCATCGCTACTGTTTAAAATGGTGCCAGAAACCTAAGTGCAGTGGTCAGTAGACTTACAAATCCGGCATTGCAGACGGCGTGCCCAGAAGCTGTCTTCGCTTTTTGGCTCAACCGCAATTCCTTAGAACATGCCGAAGGTGGAGAAATGACCCTATGTGGAACAGACCCTTCCCGCTACCAGGTATCGCCTTAAGAATTCTGATAAATGAAGCTGATTGTAGATTTCAAGGGTAACATCACATGGGTGCCGCTAATAAGTGAAAATTATTGGACAGTCCAGCTGGAAGGAATATCCGTCGGAGCAGAATCAGGCGATACTTTACATATCCCAGGGAATTTCTCAGCAGTGGTTGATAGTGGTACCTCACTAATCTTTGGACCTTCCAAATACATCCAGCAGGTGAGGTTCATCTCACTTTTCCAATTTTTGAAGTACCAGCTTCGACGGATCTCTTTCATTCTTCTTCTGTTTTAAGATTATAAATCATGTCGGTGTGGGACCCGAAGGAACTGACTGCAGTGAAGTTTCCTACTATCCAACAATCACCTTCACACTTGATGGCCATAAACTGGTCCTCGAAGGGAAGCAATACTTCTATGAGGTAAACTGATGGGACTTCTCCTAACCACGGCTGACTTGTTGCCAGCAGCAATTGCTTTCTTCGCTGATAAACTATTACGCAGCCCAACCGTATTTTCGAGAAGAATTATTGGTGTAGGAAGCTGAATTTATAGCAGTAGGCAACAAGTTAGCCGGTTTAGAAGGGTCAGATGCAAAAGCTTCGGAGAACTGACTAAATACTCGTTTGGAAGTGCTTTTCCAGTACTTCGGTTTCTGCTATCCCGCATTCCAGGAGATCCCAAGCAACAGCGGTATAGATGGTAAAACTTCTCAATCATAGTTTTTTTAGATTATATTTCTTATTTCATAGTCTCAGATAATAGTTGGACTCTTGGCGATGCCTTCATGGGCAACTTCTACACTATCTTTGACTACGAAAACAAGATGGTTGGGTTTGCCAAACCAGTACAGAGTTTGTCATCGATCTGGTGAATGTGCTAAATAAAGAGCAACAAGTAAAGTATCAGTTGAAAATCACATTTTGTTCAAAAAACACAGGCAGAATGCACATTAAATACAAAATTAGTGGAGAGGCATAGAAATGGCAGAGTATTAGGAGCTTCGGAGTTGACCGCACACATGATGGAATCAAAGACCGTTTCGATTGACGCTGATCAATCTCATTTCGGCAGCAAACTTACAACTTTCAATCAGAGTTGCAGTAACCTTTGATTGAGAACTTGTTGGACATGGTGAGTTATATGGCCAGCAGGCGTGTAGGCCTGTTGTGAAAATAAAAAGCTAGTAAATAAATAAAAAACGGTCTCCAATGTCATCTCTCGTGTATTAAGTGCTCCGCACATTTAATCGAACAGGACACCCAGAAGAAGCTTCGTCTTCGAACTTGAACCTCATCTCTGAAACATGAAGGCACCACTACGTTTAAGGTCCTTTTCACTAGTAAACTCTCAATAATCATCCTACTATATATAACGCGCTAAGTGTGTCTGTTGGTTTGTGTGTGGGTGTGGGTGTGGGTGTGGGTGTGGGTGTGGGTGTGGGTGTGGGTGTGGGTGTGGGTGTGGGTGTGGGTGTGGGTGTGGGTGTGGGTGTGGGTGTGGGTGTGGGTGTGG